GATAATTTACCTCGACGAGACATGGTTTGACACACATTCAACGCGACCTAAAGGATTTGTCAATTCTTCCGGTAAATGTAAGACAAAAGTTCCGTCAAATAAAGGGAAAAGAATAACTATTTTATATGCTGGATCAGAAAATGGTTGGGTTCCAAATGCCCTGTGGCTTTCTGAAAAGAATATTAAAGACTCCTAAGTCAACTACCTTGAGGATACAACGGCAGAACTTATTGAAGAATGTCGCAGAGCTATCACAGTCGCCAACTAAGTAAGGCTCCAAACTCAAATAATATCAAATTGGAAATTCAAAATTACATGGAGACGAATGATATGTATTTTGAAGAAAACATACACGAATTGAAATCTAACGTAGGTCACAAAATATTTCTCCAACGTTAAGTAGTACTGTTGTAAAGTTAATAAGAACATGTGTCAATGATATTCTTCCAAGTAGTCGAAGAAATTCAGTCCTACACGTAATAAGTAAAGAAAATTCATATGTTCATGTAGATCATAATTAATTTAGATGAGGATACCGATAGCGAAACAAAACTATGTGTGAAGTGATACTGTTATCAGATCTACAAATGTTACCATTAAAAAAGACGTTTCTTTTCAGAACCACAAGTTACTGTTTGTTTCTCTATAATCTTAGCAATTAAAATAGATTTAATTTATTTTAAAACTAACTCATTTGAAAACAATAATTTCGAGTATATAAGGCAAAGTAATATATTTTACATCCGTTTTTTTGTTTTTGTCGTCGTAATTATTGTAAATTTTGTGGATCGTTTGCTTCATTGTAGGAGCACCGTCTAGTCAGTGATAATTGTCAAAAGACCAACTCTGTCTTCCTCGTTTGCTTATCGCTCCGGATCGGTCTTAACAATGAGCTAAGTCAGATAAATTTAATAATATTTCCGACCGCACTAATTAAAGTCAAACATTTTCTGTTAAACAAACTTTACTTTATTATTTAACGAATGCAAAAACTAACAAAATTTTACCTGCTTACACCTGACCGCAAAGCAATTGCGGCCGAGTGGGCAACGGCATCCATGGCTTTTCAAATTCTTTACATGAATAGCTATGATGTGGATGTTATTTTATTTAAAATATAAATAAAGGAATTTTGTTTTCAAAAATTAATTTAAACTATTTGCAGCCACTTTTCGACTGACAAACTGTTATCAATGCATTCTCCTATTCTTAAATGTATGTAAAAATGTGAGTTTGATCTACTAAATTATGAATGTACTGATTTTACAGCGGGATCTTAGACTATTATGTGTGCAATCTTTAACATTCGCTTATGTATCCACGTTTCTAATGCTTCAATTCGGTTCGTCGGCAATACCTTTAACACTTCAGGCTTCTACCTCATACAACAGTACTGCCCAAATATAGCACATGATCATTTTTTTCTCAGTTTTAAACTGAGATTTTGTGTATTTAAGATATTATAGATACATTTTTCTCTAATTCTTCCTCTTTATAAGTAATTCTGCTTGTTCATTGGCAGATTAATACTTCTATGGAAGGTTGCTACTCCATATTTTGACGACACGGGTCTCCTCCATTTTGCTTATATCATTATTCCATTCTTTTTTTCAATTTTGTGTCCATGTATTTATACACTCAGCGTATTTCCTCTAATTCTTCTCAGTACTCTCATCTCTGCCGTTCCAGTAGCCTTTGCGTTGTGGCTGTGTCGGGTCTTGTTTCTGAGGCATATGTCATTACTGGTCTTACACTGGCTTTATAAATTCTTGACTTCATATCAGTGTTAATGTATCTGTTTTTCCATATAGAGTTCTTAGGTATCTTGCCAATCTATTTGCTTTTTGTACTTGATCTCTCACTTCTTTGCCCAGGTCTCAATAGCTATACAATGTAATTCCCTTGTTTAATACTGATGCCATCAATTTCTATTTTACATCGGGTTGGTTCTTTGCTGACTACTATTGTTTTAGTTTTCTGCAATGAAATTGTCATATTAAATTCTTTTGCTCTTATGTAAAATCTGTGGACCGGTCTTTGCAGACTATCTTCATCTTGGGCTATCACTATTGCATCGTCTGCGTAACAGAGTATTTTGATATTTTTGTTTCCCATTCTGCATCCTTTTCCTTTGCTAACGGTTTTGATGATTTCATCCATGATCAAATTGAAGAGCATGGGGCTCAATGAATCCCCTTGTATTATTCTGCTGCCTATTTCTATAGGTTCTGTAAGTTGTCCATCTATTCTGACTTCCATTTTGTTGTTTTGGTAGATGTTTTAGATAGTTTTATAATATTTAGGGAAACTTCTGTATTATATAGAAGATCGATTACATCTTTGAGTCTTACTCTGTCAAACGCTTTCTTTAGGTCAATCAGACACAGAAATAATGGTCTATTAGACTCTAGGTGATTTATCAGTAATTTGCTTTGTAACGAATATTGCATCTGTACACGATCTTCCACTACGAAAATCCTGTTTTCGTAGTAGAAGTTTTAGCGTTTAGCGTAGTATTTACATAGTACATAAATTTTTATAATGTTCAAATACCTACTCAACATTGCATATCTTCAGTCTAACTCTCAAATTATAAATATGTTTATTTCTTGGAGTCCCAAAAGCTATAAAAATATTGATTTTGTCTCTTACTTGAAGCTCTCCCTTTGACTTAACTGTGTAAACGTAGATTTTCAACATAAAAGGAATTTAAATAAATAACAAACTGGTAAAATATATAATTAAGAAAACAAATTGTAAGTACGTTACAAAAAAATACATATCAAATACATCCTCTGGAATCGATAAAAATACATTTTCTCGAGAAAAATATCACTCAACAATTTAATAAATAGATTATATAAACTTAAAATTATACAATATGTAACAATATCACATAAGAAGAGAGAGAAAGTAAAACATAATTGACTGTCGAAAAACATATAATGTTACCTAGGAAATTTATTTTTTTCTATGTCTTCAATCACTTGTAGAAGTTTTTGTCTAGTTTTCTTATTGTTTTGACATGCACAGCTCACTAAACCCAACATGTGTTTGGAGGAATATTCCTGAAACAAAAAAAAAATAATAATCATCTATATAAATAAAAATGAGTCGCCGAAATGTCTGTACGCACATAACTTCAGAACGACTGCACTAAATTAGATAATTCTTTTTTGTTGTGTTTGTTATTATCAGGAGAATAACATATAATATATATACGTCATACGTTTATAAATTTATAAAGAAGTGTTTATTAAATAAATATTGTTTATTTAATAACGATATTGCTTATAAAGAAATAAAGGCTTTAGAAAATTTATAAAATAATATATATGTATTGACTTTAAATAATTTAGAGCGAGAACTAGACTTATTTTGGTATTTTTTATATTAATTATCTATATTATTTATATCTTAGACAAGGAAAGACAGAGGACGCCTAACCATACCCCTAAAAGTGAAGCCAAACTGCCACCAGAGGAAGTGGTCAGTGGCGTATCTTTGTATTTTTAAGGATTGACTAATTCGTATTTAAAATTTTGTACATTAAATGTTTTATTTATTTTATTTTATACAAATATTTTGGAATCAAAATTAACGAAATTTATTTATTTATTTACTTATTTATGGAATTTTAACCCTCAACGCACATCGCCACTGGTAAATCCTCATAGTGTGTGAGTGAAATTATTAATTATAATACAATTACTGAAATAACTATACATATTTAGCATTCTTATGTACTAATTTAAATCTCAACTTTCCTTAAAGTACTAATTTAAATTGGTTTTGAGGTTTAAAATTGAAATAAAAAGTAAAATCAATTAATACCTAATTGCCCTATTATAAATATTTACCTATGATTGCCTATATTCCGGTGTTTTCTGCTCGCTGTGATTTTTACAAAGAATATATGCACAATTCACCATTTTGCTAAGTAAAAAAAAAGGTGTTTAATTCACCTTTTTTAAAAAACCACAAAAACAAAACTGGTTTCAGATCTATTGTTTGCCACCAAAAAAATGGCGGACACGTCGAAAAGTGGCTTCACTTTTTGAAGGTTGGTTGAACGAGCGTTACCCGTCCTCTCTCTTTCCTTGTCTAAGATTTATATTACTAACCTAACCTGTTTGTTTACAAAATTTTCTGTTCTAACAAAATGGCTTACACTGCTGTTTGATGAAAAGTGCTATTGATAGATTAACATGACATAGATGTATTTGGTATTGCGGTTCCAAATAATAAAGATGAAATTTCAACATAATTATCAGATGAGGCGGATTGGAGAATCTCTTCATTTTCCATACAAAAGTGTCATCCCACTATGGCTACTAGTCTAGACTAGAGAATTCGATGGTTCACGAAGTTCTAAGTAAACAACGTTAACATCGAGAACATACGAGTGAGAACCTGTCTGGGCTCCAAACTGTTCAAGAAGCCGGCTTCGATGAAGTTTCAGAACGATTGGATATGTATATAAGACACGAAACTTATAATTAATTATTGTTAGGTGGACTCTAAAATGATGAGCGAGTATAAATTGTAAAGAGCGTATTGTAGGAGTATGAATTGTAATATAAATTAAATAAATAAAGACTTAATAAATTAGACATTAGTACTGCTCCACCATAGGCCGATCAGACACCAGCATATTCTAGTCTATGCCGCCGATTCATTTAGAATTTTAAACTGCTGCGTTAGCCTTTTTGTTTTCTGTATACCGAGCTGGGGATCGAACTCACATCACTCGCAGTGAAGCGAGTGAGAACCGACCAAAAAAATAATAGAAAGGCAATAATAAATTTAAAATATGTGTAATCAACATTTAGGCAAATGCTACTATTTTTTCCTCAAAGATAATGAGATATTATGGAAGAAAATATTTATAATATATTTAAGTACTAACCTTATGGTCTCTTATCCATTTTTCCAACTCAATATCAGGTAAATAGTATGCTTTCACATAGTTTTCAACATACTCTTTATGAGGCACTGGTTTTAGCGACGATATCTTTTCAAATTTAGTCAAAAATTGAGTAAAATCTAACTGCATTAGAGCTCTACCACCATTTGTACATTTCTTGGCTTCAGAAAATCTAAAAATGAATATATGAATATGGGTTAAATATAAAAATTTACAAAAATGCGAAAAATTAAAGAACTTTGTTATTGAATTGTGAAAAGATAATTCCTTGTTTAGAGACAATGTTTAGGAATAAATATGAACGGAACGAGTGTAAAAGGTACGTCCAACATGAACGCTGGTTTTCAGAGTCAGACAGCCGGCGCCATTCATGATGGATATCGAGGAATTGAGAACAAAGGTCCAGGTTAATCCTCCTATATGGGATAAGAGAGTAAAGGATCATTCCAATAGAAATATTGTTACCTTACCATAAATGAAAATTTATGTTAAGTGTAAGTTTGTTATATCTACACTATCGTAGTGGAAAACTAGCATTCATAATGTCCATATCTTACCCGCCGATTGTAGTCAGACAGTCGTCCCGAGAATCTGAATCTGACTACCAGCTTTTACCAGTCTTCATATTGGTGGTACCTTATAAAGATAGATGTGAGTTCAGTGCGGTCCTATCATTTATAAATATGTTACCTTTAGAAAATCTAAATATGAACAAATATACTTCAGCTAATTTAACTACCGATGCACGTCATTATCTACGTCAGAGATCGAAGTTGACATAGTTGCCAAAGTATAAAAAATCCTGACTCTTTTTTTTATACCAAAGTATAAAAAAAACTAAACGACTATTTAAATTCTTACGTGATATTTTTGAAATAAAACACACTAAGTTTGGTCTAAAAAGAACAGATTTTATTAAATAGGTAAAAATATAAAACAAGAGGTATTCACTTTAAAATTCAAAATAATAAAGTGCAAAAAGTGTCAACACCGCAACTGTCAAATAAGTGTTTCTAATTTATGCCAAAATTTCACCTTCGTTCGATTACAGTTACAGTGTGTTCACAAATGTTCTTCATAAAAACGCTTTATAATGCATTTATACATATTAAATGAAACTTATTATTGTGTATTGCTTTAAGTTAACATTAATAGAAATTTTTAAATATTATTTCTACGCTTATATAATAATATATGTCTAGTGGCTGTAATGCCAGTGTACTCGGCAAAGTCATTCTAAAAAAGAACACACCTATCGCCTAAATATTTCGTGTTGGTATCATGTGACGTCACGGGCTATGACGCCGATGACGTGCATCGGTAAGTATATTAGATGAAGTGTATGTGAATATGAGTGAAATATTAAAATAAACACACAAAACAAAACTAAACGATAAATTACTTATTATTTATAGCGCGGAGTGACTGCAAAGCTTGAACAAAGCTTCATTAAGGTGAGTAACTATCAAAAGAATAATGAGGGAATATCACAGAACCTACAAAATATGTAATTTAATCACATTTATAAGTGCCATTTATATCGGATTGACGCCTTTGTGAATAACACCAATGGATAACTCATAATGTAAAAATCATTTGAACAAAAATTTATATTGACTTACCCTTGTACCAAGGTGTGTGTCACAATATGTGCAACATTTCTCCATATATTTTGGTACGCTTCCATCGATATCGGAACTTTTATTGCTATTTCCTCCAATCTTAACGTAAATATTTGTACTTCCTATAAAAGTTTGGTATTAAAAAATTAAAAAATGAGTTTTTAAAACTTACTCTTAACAATGTGTCCACATAAGAATTGTGCATCGATCTAACGTCCCTTACTTCCCAATTTATTTTGGACATACTGGTTAAAATCTGTCTTAAATCAAAAGCTTGAGCGACGACTGCCATGTAAACTGGATTCCTTAAATCAGGAGCGCTAGCTATAGTCTGTAAAAAAAAGTTTACTTATTAGACTGTGTATTGAACAAAGCACAATGAGAAAATAGACAATCACTCGCATCGTCGATCCATTGGAATCTTTAACTCACATCTGAACTTTGTCAACTACTTTTAAAGATCCACGTTTTTCTAGTCATATGTTTTCTTTATTTCATCAAATTCTTTTTCTATTGTGATTTGTAATTTTTCGATTGACGTATAATGAATGATGACTAATACATTTAAAAATAATCTAAATTTTCTATTATTTTATATACATTGCGCCTTTTTAAATATTCACCGTCCCCGCCTATGTGAATCGTTACATAAACCTTGCTAACTTCTCTCCGGATTTGACAGCCGACATAGACAACGTCAACAGATGACAATGTTTACGTCCTAACCTTATTTTTTTACTTAAAATTAATGAAAGGAGAAACGAGGCTACCAATTAAACAGAATATAAACATGGATTCTGAAGAAAGTACTATAAAAGTGGGTGACCACATTATTGTTCAAAGACAAGGATACACAAAACTACATAAATTGAAAGCTCGTGGTAGATTAATATTAGGTTCTTTCAATATAGAAATGGACAATATTATAGGAGAGAAATATTTTGATACCTTTCAAATGAAAAATATGCCAGGAAACAAAAAACTCTACATATTAGAAAAAGTAGAACAAATAAATTCTGCAGTAAACAGCCTTAACATTGAAACATCTGGGGCAGACAACAGGAATATTCCCAACAATGCTGATTCACAGAGTCTCACAAAAGATGATATTGACAGACTTGTAGATACTGAACTCAGTTCCAACAATATAGTGGGCCAACTTATAAACAATTCCAAAACATTTTCTATGAAGACAGGGTACTCACAGGAGAAGTATATAAAGAAAAAAGAAAAGAAGTATTTTGAATATGTTCAGATTAAGAAACCTAGTATTCGGATACTTGTTCAAATGTTTTATAGACAAGATACAACAAAAACTTTGGGAATAAGAATAGATGATTTGTCACAGATATTAACATATGCGAATATTCATCCTGAAGGTAAGATAACCATGCCAAATAACACTGGTTGATTTTATGTAAGAGTGTATCAATAATATATATATAACTTGAATATGTAAATCTAAGTATGGTGTTACAATCTCAAAATTTCACAAATTTTGTTAATTCACAAGTGAACTAGGTAATCATTCATTCAAGTTAAATTCAATTAATGTTATAATCATATGGTTTTGTTGCAGTATGTTAAAATTACTTAAATGTTTTTTTTTAATAAAATGACTGAACCAGTTCCTATTTATTAATTAAAGATTAATGTTAGGATAAGTAAATAATAAGTATATTAATTACTATTAAACTGGGAATAAGCCACGATTAAAGATAAAAATATGTTTATTGACGTTTCAATTTCCACTTCGGAAATCGTTCTCAAAATACAAACAGTAAATTAAACAAATTTTGTTTTTTGTTACATAGTGAAAAATTCTTCTAATAATTTAATTTTATCTGACTCATTTATATTGACAATTCAGACATACATTGTGCATTTTAAAGTAGACGACTTTAAAATAATATTGCCAATATTGTTGAGTTGCACTCCTGGAACGACTTTACTTATAAGATAGTTCATTTGATTACATGAAATCAACTTTAACTTGAGAATATCCGTCAGAAAAAAATCATAGCATGTAATTCGTCTTTAAAAAGACAAACACATGACATGATGACAGTAAAATTCTCCTGTTAGTGATTCCATAGTAAATTATGAGGGAAAAACCAGGAAAAAAAACCTCATAATACTATCCCGACATTGTAAGTATTTGTTCGTGAATTTAGTTTACCTTCAACAAACATCAAAATTCTGATTTTATATGTTACATTATTTAAAAAACATAAATGATGTATCCTCTATATGTTACTGACTTAGTAATACTGGTATTTTCTTATTAATAACTTCCTCTTTCAATATTGGTAACCAGATCCTACTACATTCTGCCGAGGAATTTGCGACACAATTGGCCTCGTTTAGCATAATTAGAGCCGCTTCTTTGATTTTTCTTTTTTTACCATCCGTTTCTTTTAGGACTGCATTTGAATTATTCCATTGAACCCTATGTTCATTATCCCATGCGTGTTTACAGATTTGAGATCTATCAAATTTTCTATTTTTAATATAAGATTGATGTTCACTTATTCTAATATTTAATGGCCTTGATGATTCACCTAAATAAAACTGATCGCATTCACAAGGTATTTTATAAATGCAATTCTTTGTCCTTTGTTCATTGTTAGGTTTGGTTTTGGACAAAATAGATCTCAACGTGTTTGTTGTTTTGAATGTTGTTGAAATATTGAATTTATTTCCTATCCTTTTAAGTTTTTCTGATAGTCCTTTTATGTACGGTATTGTTATTTTTCTCATATTATTCCTTGTGTATGCTGTAGGATCTCGTTCTAAGTTGTTCTGTTCTATTCGATCGATTGTTGAAAATTCCTTATTTATAAACAAATTTTGAAACAAATATCATTTCTAAACAAAATTTCAAACCCACAGTATGGTGGAGGTATGTAGATGATGTATTCTCAATATGGCCTCATGGATCAGAGTTGTTTCACACATTCCTAAATAATATAAACGATAAAGAAGAGACAATAACATTTACCATGGAAAAGGAATATAATAACATGCTACCTTTCCTGGATGTTTTAAAATCTAAGAACGATACTGGATATGACACTCAGGTGTATAGAAAACCAACACACACCAATAGATATTTAAATTTCAAATCAAATCACAATATTAATGTAAAAAAGGGAATAATTAAATCCTTATACGATAGAGCCAAAATTACTTGTTCTAACGAAAATTCGTTCTTGGAGGAGAAACATTTGTTAACATCTGTTTTATTAAAAAATGATTATCCTTTTTCGTTTATAAATAAGGAATTTTCAACAATCGATCAAATAGAACAGAACAACTTAGAACGAGATCCTACAGCATACACAAGGAATAATATGAGAAAAATAACAATACCGTACATAAAAGGACTATCAGAAAAACTTAAAAGGATAGGAAATAAATTCAACATTTCAACAACATTCAAAACAACAAACACGTTGAGATCTATTTTGTCCAAAACCAAACCTAACAGTGAACAAGAAAGGACAAAGAATTGCATTTATAAAATACCTTGTGAATGCGATCAGTTTTATGTAGGTGAATCATCAAGGCCATTAAATATTAGAATAAGTGAACATCAATCTTATATTAAAAATAGAGAATTTAATAGATCTCAAATCTGTCAACACGCATGGGATAATGAACATAGGGTTCAATGGAATAATTCAAATGTAGTCCTAAAAGAAACAGATGGTAAAAAAAGAAAAATCAAAGAAGCGGCTCTAATTATGCTAAATGAGGCCAACTGTGTCGTGGTTACCAATATTGAAAGAGGAAGTTATTAATAAGAAAATACCAGTATTAGTAAGTCAGTAACATATAGAGGATGCATCATTTATGTTTTTTAAATAACGTAACATATAAAATCAGAATTTTGATGTTTGTTGAAGGTAAACTAAATTCACGAACAAATACTTACAATGTCGGGATAGTATTATGAGGTTTTTTTCCTGGTTTTTCCCTCATAATTTACTATGGAATCACTAACAGGAGAATTTTACTGTCATCATGTCATGTGTTTGTCTTTTTAAAGACGAATTATATGCTATGATTTTTTTCTGACTGATATTCTCAAGTTAAAGTTGATTTCATGTAATCGAATGAACTATCTTATAAGTAAAGTCGTTCCAGGAGCGCAACTCAACAATATTGGCAATATCATTTTAAAGTCGTCTACTTTAAAATGTACAATGTATGTCTGAATTGTCAATATAAATGAGTCAGATAAAATTAAATTATTAGAAGAATTTTTCACTATGTAACAAAAAACAAAATTTGTTTAATTTACTGTTTGTATTTTGAGAACGATTTCCAAAGTGGAAATTGAAACGTCAATAAACGTATTTTTATCTTTAATTGTGGCTTATTCCCAGTTTAATAGTAATTAATTTACAATGCCACAAGAAAATAGCTTCAGAACAATAATAAGTATATGACCACACTATTTTGTCACAGCGTTGTTTATTAAGTTAGGCCTGATGCCATAGTAATATTCTTGTGGATGTAATTTCGGATTAAGCTATGTAGTTGATATGTCCAAAATGTTGGTGATTCCACTCTTAGTTTTACACCAAATGTTATTTTATGGCTCTATAGCTTATAGAGTATGACAAAGAATATGATAAATCAAAAGCTGGAAAAGAGGAAGTATTTTTGAAGTGTGTAAAAGACTTTAATTCCTAGCTGAGTGGTTTCAGCTTACAAAGCCATCTTTGTAGGGCTCTATGCTACATGAGGGCAATGAAGTAAATAACTAATTTTAATTTAACAATAATTCACTAACGTTAAATATAAAGTATCCTACTAGCAGAGATCATATGGTAAGCAAAAAATTGCTGGTTCTATTTTTTCTTTTCTTTTTTAATGAAAAAAATACACACACAAAAGACTGGACAAAAAACACATTAAAAATTTGGTTATAGTATGGGTGTCAGACCTCGACCATTTTTTACTAGAGTTGAAGCAGCAGATAGAGTGAGCAAAATCGAATGTCAGATCTTTAAATGATTTTTCAAAGATGACAATTGCCATATGTCATTAGAAAAATAAGATTTTTTAAACATTATTAAAAAATTGTTGAATTGGAAAACATAATAAATAAAAAATATTTACATATAGATCAGGTATATACCTATTTATTGATTATAAATTTTCTATATTTTTAGGCAATCATGTTTTGTATGACAGTGGGACATCAGGTTTGATGAGTGCTGCAATAACTAATGCTATTGGTCCTAATACTAAAGGTCAACTTATCCACATGCATCCTGGAAATGAATGTCAAAAAAGTGCTTTCATAGCTATGCAATTTCCAAAAGAACAAGTAGATAGATGTACAAATGTGAACTTATATTCTGTTTTGAGATGCTTCTACCAACAAAAGGAAAGTTTCTCAGAAAAAGCTTCTATTGATTGCCATCAATCAGAAAACTCTGAAGGTGAACCACAAACAAAGAAACTGAAGCTAGACAATAGTACAGAAGATAAAAAAGACCTTAGTGAAGAAGGTAATACGCAAGAATCCAAGAAAAGTTCAAATGATCCTACTCATAAAAGGATTTGGCAGATAGAAAATGAAAAGGCATGTAGAATTCTTGAACAAAAAGTAGATTCCCTTGTGATTACAGTAAAGGAACATCCTGTAAATATTGTGAAGGAATTATTACAATTTCTACATGGCAATAGACATTTTGTAGTATTTAGCAGTTTAAAAGAGTTACAGCATGATTTATATTTTTATTTAAAAAGTCGTGCAGATATAATTAATATAAGGGTCTGTAACAGTTTTATGAGAAACTATCAAGTACTGCCAAACAGGACACATCCTGAGGTTAATATGACCACTGGTGGTTACATTTTAACAGGATACAAGTTAAGTGAATAGTTTTGTAAATAAATAGGTATAATAATTATTATTTTTAATAAAAGTATTAAATGTGTAACATTTATTTCTTAATCCTAATTTTCCTGGTACTATGCTCAATTCTTGGATCCCAATTGGATCTTGCTCAATTCATTTGACTTAGCTATAATAATTTACTCAAAATATGTCCAATACATCTAATTAGGTCGTATCAATTTACAAGTTATTGAAACTATAGTCAAAAGTTTAGACTTAAATTTCTGCACTATCATTAGTTAATGTCGACCAATATCTCTTTAAACAATCATGTCAAAGATCTTAGAATCATGTGTAATTAACCAAATTGTTCAATTCTTTGATTCATCTAGCTACTGGTTTAACAGGTAATATGATGTTAGATATATGCAATCACAGTATCTGCTGCTGGACTTAATTACAGACATATACAACAAAAAAGACAAAGGTTTAAGCTGTGATGACCATGAGATACTTATTTCCGCGCTTGAAAAATATTGGAAAAGTGGAATGGCTTTACTGGCAGAAAATTTGATTACTCGGGCAGCAGAATACAAAAAGACCTATGTGCATCAAAAGATATCACATGTGCAGTTCTCCAGGTGTCTATATTGGGATCAATACTTGATTTATATAATTTTGTTATCTAATTTACCACTAACATTCATGTTTTATCTTTATGCTGACGACACTGGTCTTTTGTATGTCAATGAGGATTCCAGAAAATTTTAAACTGATGTAAAAAAGAGCTTTATTGAAGTAGATGGAAGCCCAGTGTCTTAGGTATCACAACCTGTCACTTAATATGAATTAGTCCAGTTATAGGATAATTTTAAGTACATATGCACATAGGGATATGTAGCTTAACAGGAAAATTCAAATGTATTAAAAAGGACATTATCCAGTATCTTTGATTGAATATAGATCAATGATTTACTTGAGAAAAACACATATCAGGTAATACCAATCACAAACGGTTTTATCCTCATCAAGAGATAATAAATATGTTTTTTAACTGCCACACCCTCATCTAACTGAAAATTTTTACTGCCCGCAAGAATATTCAACATTTTATGAATGTAGCTAAGTATTTAGAAATATTGCCCTAATAGTGATACAAAGATCTGCATGACTATTATACCATGTAAAGGGCTATTGCACTAATATGCTACCTAGTAATGTCAAAAAAGTCAACTAGGAAGATCTAAATTCGTATTAAAACAATTATTTTTGACAACTACTTTCAGTTTTAAGACCAATCAGATTTGAATTTGAATTAATTTTCTTCTTGTGGTTTGTTAATTTTGTGGCTTTCCATTTCTTTTGACGGTTCTTTAATAGCCCCAACTGAACCTCGCTTTTTGCAGTATTTTTGGTGATGTCACACAATGGTTCAGGGTCTGTACAGGAGTCTCTCGAGCCTTTTTTTACCAACAAATCTGCTCGCACCTGTATCCCTTCATGATTCAGCAGCCATATTAAAGACACTTTGTTGTTGAGGAGATTTTTGCAGTTCCTCAGATTTTTGATTTGTTAAGTGTTGATTGAATGTTGATTCTCTTTGCTTTGGGGTTTCCATGCAGGATTTCATCAATACAGGCAACCAAAGAAAAAAAACTTCAGCCTGGAACACAGTTGTATACTGACCTAGACTGTAAGATTTTTTATAATTACATGTTTGTCCAAAGACTCCTGATCCACTACCATGTGCAGTTTTAGATCCATCAATGAACCATATTAAGTTCTCGTGTCATCATATTTTAGAAATGGATTCTTTAAGAATAGTTTCAATAGTATTTGTGTGACTATTCAATACATAATTCGACCCTCAAGTATTATTCGCTTTAATTCTCAGAATGGTCATAAAGGTTACCGCCAAAATATTTAATTCCAGTGGAGGAAGACCTGTGATAGCCTCTAAAGATGGCGTTCCTGTACTATTCAAGGCTACTATTATATTTAGAAGCACTTGTATTTGTAGGGTGGTAAAAGAGGTCACACAAGGTTGCAAAGCCATCTTTTTCCACCAAAGTACTGAATCATATGTAACTGTCGGTAGTATCACTGATTGTGTATAACCAACAGATTACCTTTGGTTTTAGTCCTCAGGTTTTACCTACAACTACAGTTCCAGAAGAGTTCTAGATACTTGGCTCATTAATTCTTTCTAGTAACGCAGTACTTATAAAACCAACATCGCTAGGGCTCTTTATTTCTTAAAGCTTAAATTAAGCTTTATTATTGAATACTTCCCAATTAAGTCCCAAGACCAAAAAAATGAGAAGTAACAGCTCCCTAAAAATCCAGAGTTTTCATCTGGTTTGGTTCAGATGATAGATAGCCCCCTTAAGGGCTTCTGGCTAGGTTACTGTCGAAAAATGTCAAAAGGAGGAAGAACCAGACAGGAAAGGTTGATCACGAAATTTGGACTAAGCAACTAAAATGGATTATGAATTGCGCAACTTGAACGTACGAGGGATCAGTATATTAGGAGAAATTCCTAAATAAACTCAAAAATGAAATATCCTCCTAGCTTTAAAAGAAACTAAGCAAAAAATCAAGGGGAAATTTAGATGCAGGAGAATATACATTTATATATATTTATAAACAGTCCAAACAAAAGAATGTTTTTTGATGAAGTGAGAAAAGTATTATATCAAATGGGAAATAACCGCTAGAAAATACTACTAGGTGATTTTAATAGCCAGATTGGTAAAAAGTATATACGAAAACATTGAGTAAATTTATGAACACATCAAAGTATACCAAAAAAGGCAACATACAAAAAAAGAAGAAGATAGAGAGGAATATGTTATACAAAAGAGTCCATGACGCGTAGACTGTTGTCAGTAGAACATGAAATCAGCCTGACCAAATTTTATATATAAGCATAATAATCATAACATAATCAAACTGTGTAACTAATTTTATATTTAAAAATAAATACTTACTTGGAGATAAAATTGCTGTAGAACACCTTTAAAATTTTGAGGCACCAAGTAATCCAAATACTCCTGTAAAAATTCAAATTGTTTGGACAAAAATACCAAACTTTCCACTGCAACGATTCTCTCAGCTAAACCATTGAGCTTTTCTGGATTTTTCAATTCTGTCATGGGAGAAATGGAAGGTTTAGAAACTCTACCGTCACGACCCTGATTTTCCTCATCTATTATTACATTATTTTCTAATATCAGATCATTTGAGATTCTTTGAAGTGTCATGTTAAGCTCTTGTGAATACAAATTGGCACTGGAAACAACCTTAAATAACATTGATAAATATAATCAACTCTAAATAAGATCTGATAAATATTAATATATATAAATACGGTTGTAATAACCAATATTTACTAAAATTTTCATTAATTTAAATTACAAAAAAAAAGAATAATTAATCTCTCAGGGTTCTTCGTGCTTAATATTTTAATTTTTTAATGTAATTAAATTCATAGAATAAAATTGGAAATAAACAACCCAAATATTAAAAAAAAATACAACAGGAATATTGGACATACAATTTGCCATATGCTTTGCAAAATACAAAAAAATTATTCCCAATCAGTATGATCAGCTTAAAATTACCTACTGACAGTATTATTGCCCATAATAAAACTAGGAGTAATCGTTCCCTTTTAAAGAAAATACAACTCTACACGGAAAATTACACGTTGATGCCCAATGAACTCTAGTCATGTGCCAGTATTGTAACTTCACTATCTCAGTAAAACACGTGATTAACACGTAGCAATGTAAAAGATATTCTTATATAGATATAGATTTTTAATACAAATAGTTCTAACCTCAAAAATGTTTTAAACTCGACACAAATTAATATAATTTAATGCCCAAAAAAATGTACTCAATTAAAAGTATCACCTATTGTATTTATTTTATTTATCGTATGGCATACAATAAGAACACACAATTAAAAAATCAATATAAAACGTTACTTGAAGTATTACAAACGAACATCTAATGTATTATTAATATAATGTAAAACATTTTCGGTCGCATTCAGGAACTCATCGAAAACTCCAGGGAATCGCCTTCGGGGACATTCTTCAACAATGTGACGGACGGTCTGTCGTTGCGCACCACAGTAACACTCAGGAGTAAGGGCTTTTCCCCATCTATATAAGCTGTCAGCACATCTACCGCTGCTTGTTCTTATTCTGTTTAGCGTTGTCCATGTATTGTGGGTCAGTTCAAAGCCTGGCGGTTTCTGATCGATACAGGCCATTTGATGTGCTTCCTGTGGTGAGTCGCTCTCCCATTGTGTTCTCCAAGCTTTGGTCAGGTTAAACTGTTCTTGATGTAAGGAGTTGGCTCTTAGCAATGGAGGATATCTGGAGCGCAGTCTGTTTATTTCGATATCAAGCTTATGTTGATGTATGGGTAGTTGATGGTTAGCCTTAATTTTCCGATATTCTCTGAGAAGAGGACTTCTTCGCAGTTTCGGCGGTGGAATGTGACGCCAATAGTTCGGTATGGGTCTAATTGTACCTGAGATAATTCGCATTGTCTGGTTTAATTGAGTGTCAATAATCTTTGTGTGTTTGCTATTGAGCCATACCGGGGAAGCATATTCAGCCACCGAGTATACTAGTCCGAGAGCGGATGATCTGAGTACGGAGGCTGATGACCCCCATGTAGTGCCACATAGCTTTTGGACTATATTATTTCTCGTTTTCAGCTTTGCTGCCGTTCTTTGAAGATGTTCTTTAAAACCCAATGTTCTGTCCAGAGTCACTCCAAGATATTTTGGTGTCGAGTTATGAGTGAGCAGTCTGTTTTCGAAGTGGATGGAGAGTTTTTTGTTGGCTTGGGCATTGTAAAAAATAGCATCACCTATTGTAAAAAATTGAGGATACAGGGGTAGAATGCGAAAACATGTGAGTTGATTCCAGTTTACTCCAATTAGTATCCAACCCTGTAAAAAACCTTTTGTTATGAGACCTACAAAGACAGAAACCGGACTGTCTAACCTACGACGAACTCGCAAACGAAATAAGGATAATGATTTAAAAATTTGCACGTGGAACGTAAGAAGCCTTTATCATCCTGGAGCCACGGCTCTCCTCATACAAGAAATGAACAAAGCCAAAGCAGATATCATTGTTCTACAGGAAATGAGGTGGACTAGTACAGGCATTCTGGAAAAAAATAATTGGAATATTGAATACAGTGGACATCCTACCCGACACGAATTGGGTACCGGATTTATTGTAAGCAGCAAGGTCAAACATAGTGTAATTGGTTTCAAAGCTATTAATCATAGTGCGCTAATCTTAGCATTATTAGCATGCATGCTCCAACGGAAGAAAAAGAGGATGATGAAAAAGATATGTTCTATGAGGCACTAGACCAAGAGTACGATGAGTGCCCAAAAAATGACATCAAAATAATAGCAGGGGACTTTAATGCCAAAGTCGGAAGAGGGAATATATTTTCGCCCACCATCGGGAAAGAAAGCCTACACGCAGACTCTAATGATAACGGTCTCAGAATCATAAACTGTGCGATGTCTAAGAACATTGTAATAGCTAGGACACGATTTCCCCTTAAAAATATACATAAGGGAACTTGGAAATCTCCTGATAATGAAACGATTAACCAAATAGATTATATAATTATCGATGTAAGACACTGCTCTAACTAATTAGATGTTAGGTCTTTTAGAGGAGCAAACATAGATCACTATTTAGTTAAAGCATGATTTAATGAATGAATATCCAATTTAAAAAAGGAAATCGAGAAAAGGAGAGAAAAAATCGAAATAAATAAACTAAAAGATCGCGACATTGCAAATGTATACAGATAGCAAATAAAAGATCAAATAAGGACAGAAAACTTAGAAGAAGAAGAAGACATTAACGATAAAAAAAGAAGAATCTTAGAAGAGAGGAAAAACGTATCCATCGACGTAAGAAGAGAGAATACGAACAGAATACTCTCAATGAGATACAAAGTTTATTCGATAAAACGAGGAAATACTACAAATCCTTAAATAATAGCCGTCGAGAATTTAAACTACGATTCAAAATTTTTAAAGACACTAACAGTGAAATTCTACATGATAATGTCTCATTTCTTAACAGATGGACCCAACATTTCAACGAACATCTAAATATAAACGATATTGAAGGATTTTACAACATAGAAAATCAACAAAATCTACAACGTCAACTACACAGTGAAAACCCAACATGAGAAGAAGTGTCAAATGCCATCCTAAAATTCAAAGACAATAAAGCCCCAGGAATCGATGAAATCTGTTCGGAAATATATAAAAAAGGTAGTGATCAATTTTTTGCAGCAATCTACAAACTAATAGTACTTATACGGCCGAATGAATTGGTACCAGAAGCGTGGCTAAAGGGAATAATATGTCCGTTGCACAAAAAGGGTGATCAACTGGAGTGTAAGAACTATAGAGGCATTATTCTGTTAGCATCTGCGTATAAAATCTTCGGCAATGTATTGTTTGAAAGACTTAAACATTTTAAAAAGGATATTGTTGGTCAATATCAATGCGGATTTACTGCTGAAAAGTTAATTACACATCAAATTCAAGCACGTGGGCAGATTCTAGAGAAGTCACTAGAATATAACATAGATACATAGTATCTCTTCTTCGACTTCAAAGCAGCCTATGAGAGTGTGAAAAGACTGCATTATATAATGCAATGATAGGCTTTGGGATCCCACCTAAGTTAGTTAAGTGGACCCAACTAACAATGCAAAACGTAAGCTCATGCGTTAGAATTGAAGGAGAAAACTCTACATTCTTTGACATTAATAATGGTCTAAGACAGTTCGACGCGCTGGCGTGTCTCCTCTTTAATATTGCCTTGGAAAAGGTAATCAGACAATTAAATATTAAAATGAATAGAACTATTTTTAATAGACCGACGCAAATTTTCGCATTCGCTGAAGATATAGTTATAGAGTTCTAGTGGGCAGAAGTATGAGAGACATGGTGCAGTGTTTTACAAGGCTTGCGGACGCGGTAAGTGAATTAGGACTTGTGGCAAAAAGGAAAAAACCAAATATATGTTGGTTTCTAAAAACTCCTGAAATATCCAAGAGATAATTCAAATTAACAACCATACCTTAAGCTAAAAATATACAACACCTTAATAAGACCGTTTTTGATATATTGGGCGGAAACGTGGACCTTATCTCAAAACTTCTTCTGGTATTTTTGAGAGAGAAAAATCTTGGAAAGATTTTTGGAACCGTAAATGAAAATGGGTTATGGCGTCGAAGATACAACTTTGAACTGTATCAGTTATAAACCTATCCAGATATTGTGAAATTCGTTAAAGTGCAGAGACTTAGATGGGCTGGACACATTGCTAGGATATCAGATCACGAATACACGAAGAGATTAACATTTTCAAAACCAGAGGACACAAGAAGTAGGGGACGATCACGAAGGAGATTGATGATGATGTGGAAGAAGACCTAAAGATTCTAAGTGTCAGAAGATGCAGGGAAGTTGGAAGGAATCGACAGGAGCGGCGACTCCTTTGTGAGACGGCCAAGATCCACAACGGATTGTCGAGCCACTTATGATGATGATTGTAAACAAAATACACTGTATTTATATTAATGATAATTAGAAGTTGAGACTCAAATTTCGAAATAAAAAAATCAGAGGTTAAACACCATGTTATTAAAATATCAAAATAGTACAATAAAGTTTATAAGTTGCGTTAAAAAATACTAGTACTGCGTCGTTTGCCTAGTTTAAGCTGTAGAAATTTAAAAATGATTCCATAACAGAAAAGAGTAAGTTGATTTTAATTTTATTTTTCGTGTACTTACCAAGTCTGCAGTGAAAAATAAATGTACTGAATATAAGTAGTAATCAAACAGTTGATTCATACAGGAAATAATACGAAATGCTATAGGTTTCAACAGCCGAGACATCTGAATATATTTTCCCATCTGTCGCAGCACGGTTAACGAAGTGTTGGTTAATACAGGATTGTTTGATTGCGTTTTGTCTTTTTTATCTTTACTGTTTACGCGTCTAAAATAAAAAAAAAATATATATATATATATAATAAATCTTGAAAGACCAAGAAAAAGAAGACTAAACATTAAACGATTTAATATTGGATCGAATATGCGTTTAAATGGGAGTGAAAAAAAAAACGTTATATATATATATATATATATATATATATATATATATATATATATATATATATATATTATTGTGATATTTCAAGTCTTGGTGCGCCAAGCAATTAATTAGCTAATTAATTAATTAATTAATTAAAATTATTTAAATGATATGATTATGACTCTATCACACTTTTTAATTCTCTTATCTCAGGGTTAAATTCGTGCTTCAATATCTATGCTATTACCTGTGAAAGGTAAGGTCCAAAGAATACCGGAATAATTAAAAACACATATGATATAACACTATATATTGAAATAAAAATAATGAAATAATTCACACTCAAACGTTTTCAATAAACAAAATCTCATATAATGATTCTCAAAATTTTGTTCTACGTACGTGAACAATCAAAATTAATGGTACAAACAATATTAATTGAAATCTCAAAATTCCAAACTATTCTAACTCTCCTACTCAAAATATTTATATCCTTTCTAAATTAAGTGTAAAAATTGTGTTGTCAATAAAAGAAAAAACTGCAGAAAACAAAACTATCTCTCTCTGATGATGAGTGGTCCAAATCCTTGTTATTTGTAGACTATATTATTTACTCGTGGCCGCTCCCTAGGTAATCAGCAATCTTACAACAAATTATTGCAAGTATATCGTCCTTAATGATCTCCTTCAAATGCACGAATCGTTCAAATTATGCTAGCTTCTTCTTCTCTCAATCAACTGAATCTCTCGTTGATTCGTTGATCTCAAAAATTTAAAAACTTTCCTTCTTCGAAATGTTTGTTGGTTATTATCCTACTTATCTGAATTATTTTAATGTTTTTGAACTTTGAAATATTTTAATCAAACCAATATTTTTCTCGATTTTACATATCATAACAATATATATATATATATATATATATATATATATATATATATATATATATATATATATATAATAAATATTAAAATAATATTAATAAAGAACATCATTTTCAACTTATTCCACGGGAAAAATCATCGAGATGTCCAAAACTGTACGGTCTACCAAAAGTTCACAAGGATGGATTACCACTACGACCAATAGTGAGCTCCATCGGATCACCGTTACAACCACTGGCAAGGTTCCTGGCTGAAAAGCTACAGCCTTACGCAGAAGAAGCTGATTCCTACGTTAAGAATGCAGGCCACTTCATCGAGCGTATAAAAGATGTTACTCTTGGGCCGGGACACTTGTTAGTAAGTTTCGATGTTGTTTCACTTTTCACCAACGTTCCCATCAATGAATCCTTGGAAATTATAAGCAGAAAATACCCAGTACCGGAAGATACCCTAAATTTGACGAGACACTGCTTAAATAACACATATTTTATATATGGTGATCAACGGTACAAACAAGTTGAAGGGGCACCGATGGGTTCACCGCTATCTCCCGTGATAGCAAATCTTTTTATGCAAGACATAGAGGAACGGGCAATAAGAACAGCAGAATATAAACCCAAACTATGGCTTAGATATGTGGACGACACTTTCATCATATGGACACATGGAGTAGACAAACTTACTGCATTTCTAGAATACATTAACAGTATCCATCCCAAGATCAAGTTTACGATGGAATTAGAAAGTAATCAACAACTACCTTTCCTAGACGTCTTAATAATAAAGAAAGAAAACGGCAACATTGGATATACAGTGTATCGAAAACCAACTCACACTGACAGATACCTACATGCAGATTCACACCACCATCCTGCACAATTGAATTCAGTCATAAAAACTCTGACTATAAGATCTGAACGACTAACAGACGAAGAACACAAGAAAGAAGAAATGCAGAAAGTTACAAAAGCGTTAAAAAACAACGGCTTTTCCACACACAGAATCGAAAAGGCACGAAGACCACAAAAAACAACAAAAGAAATAAAAGAAGACGAAAAACCGATTGCCAAAACCACTCTACCGTATATTAAAGGCACAACAGAGAAGATAAGCAGGGTCCTGAGAAAACACAAAATAAAGACTGTCTTCAACACCGACAGAAAAATCGCAAACATATTACCATCTGCCAAGACAAAGATTCCCCTAGAAAACCAAGGAGTATACAAAATTCCCTGTGGAGAATGCGATAGAGCCTATATTGGACAGACAAATAGAAGGATCCAAGTAAGACAAGAAGAACATCGCAATGCCATCGAACGAAAAGAAACGACGTCATCCCTAGCCCAGCATTCTTTAGCTACAGGACACAAAATTGACCTCAAACATACGGTAATGTTAGCGAATGTCGAAAACAAGAGGAAGCGAATTATCAGAGAAGCCATTGAAATAGAAAAACAAGAAAATAATTTAAATTCTCGAGACGATGCCCAAAGATTGCCAAAAACATGGAAACCAATTATCCCGAAGAATAACGCAAGAACGGAATCGACCAAGACCCCGCCCACTGACCTGCGCACTGGACCAATTACAAGAGCGCGCGCAACGCACAGTAACTATAAAAGCCAGCTGCCTAACACCCGTAGCGTCACTTCCACTCGAACATCGACAAGAAGCAGACCATCCAGAGAGACTTGAAAATGGCAAGTGAGATCTTGCCGAAACGTCGTCAAAACGGTTTTTATCAAAACCAACAACATTTAACGCGGAGTCAAACCCGGAATACCATTGATATAATATATATATATATATATATATATATATATATATATATATATATATATATCTATGTATATATATATATATATATATATATACACTATAACTTGCCAAACTTATTTTTACTGTGACTTCCTTGAGACTTGCCATCTTTTAAGATGAGCCTGTCAAAATAGCCCCCAACAATACTTACCAATTCTAGTACTAGCTTAGTAACAGGTTATCAGATATACACTATTTGAACATTTATAATTTTTATTTGAAAATAAGAAACAAATGAAAACATAAGAATTGTAGGGGAAAGGGTGAGTTAGTTGGTTCAATGTTTTAAAAGAAATATTAGTATAACTTTATTCTCTCATCAAAAAACATTTGGTAGATAAAAAATAAATATAAATTTCGAACGACCAGTGGCTAATAGGTCGCCAAATTGCAGATTGCGGTAATAGTGTGAGGAATTGCTAATAGGATAAGTAAAGTAAGACTTCCGGTAGAAATATCTTTTAATTGCATGAATAAATAGCAGTATGGGAATTGCCAACAAATCACGTTTTTATATGTGAATAAAATGCAAAAATGTTTATATATGTTCTTAAAACTAAATAAATGAGATCTATAGAGCAAAAATGTTTCGTTGTACACTCAGATGCAAAAAAACGCAACGGAGAAAATTTTGGTCAAATTCAAAATATTTCAATTTTTTTATTTTTAGCCCTCTTTTGATGATTTTGTTAGCACACCGTGTATAAATTTATATATTTTAATTTGGTATAGTCAGTTTTTTGATAAAATTTTCTATTTGACTTATTGTACGGGGTTAATTAAAATGTGGTTTTATTATCCTAACTTTGAAACGTCCTGTGGAATAATTCCGGTGGGAATTTTCGGTTGCAACCATGTCTTCTAAGCATTGTGTTTTTTGTTTCATGTCAAAATAAGCCTTGGTTCATTTTTTAGAGTCAAATGAATTTGCCACTCACAATTTAAGATATTTTAATTATGATAATTTTGGATAATTATGGTTATTTTGTAATACGAGGTGGCTTTGGTGACTTATCATTATGTCATATTGACACTCACATTTTGTTTACCTATGATTGATCATGGTTCTTAGTGTCGAAGATTGTGCGAAAGCCGTTGCTCTGGTTGAAAATGGGCGAAATTATGAATATGTGGCTAGAGTACTACACACTCATCGCTCTACCATCCAAAGGACAGTGGAAAGTTTTATATGAACTTGAACAAACAAGCGGGAAGTTTCAGGAAGCGCAAAACTACCGCGTTAGATGATCGTTTTATACGGGTCAATGCTTTGCGGGATCGTCATTTAACAGCGGTGCAAACAAGAAATCAGCTTGAAGAGGTTCGAGGCAATAATGTAGGTGTATTTACAGTTCGTCGAAGATTACATGAATTTGATTTGCTAAGTTGCAGACCAGCAACTGGGCCCAAATTACTTTCACGGCACAGAGTGGCTAGATTACAATTTTCCAGGGAACATTTACATTAGAATTTAGGAGAATGGAGTAACGTTCTTTTTACGGATAAGTCGAGATACTGTTTTCACTCATCAGATGGGAGAGAACGAGTATGGCGTCGAACTGGAGAGATATTTGCGGAATGCACTTTCAGTCCCCACGTTAGCCATGGAGGGGGCTCGGTGATGGTATGGGCAGGAATATCCCGAGAGGCGCACACTGAATTGGTATTTATTGAGGGTTCTTTAACTGCACACCGATATATTGAGGAAATTTTAGCGAATCACGTAGTACCCTTTTCTCAATATATCGGCGATGATTTTCTATTATATTAGATATTATAAATATTAGAAGTCGCGAAGTCGCACCAGCCTCAATTAACGAACTTGGCTTGGCTCTAGAAGAGGAATGGCAAAACATCCAGCAAGATAATATTCGCAACCTCATAGACAGCACGACCCGACTTGTACAGGCAGTTATAGAGGCTAGGGGAGGCAATACAAAGTATTAAGTTATTTTTTAGTAGTTTTTTTTTGTTATTTGCGTACTTAGGGTAACTTACATTTAGTTGTTTTTTTATGTTTTGTTATTGTTATCATCGTTCATCAAAACCAAGATCATGTTACTTTTAATCATTATTTAAATATAGTGCTTCTGGGATATCGATATGATATTCCTTCGATATTAGTCACCAAAGCCCCCTTCATCGTTTTACAAATTAATACAAAAGATAATGATAATAATAGGAAAAGTCGTAAATTGTGGGTGGCAAAGTCATTTCGCTCCTAAAAATGAACCAATCCATATTTTCACATGAAACAAATATCATAATACTTAGAAGACATAGTTGCAACCGAAAAACAAGGTTTTACGAAAATCCGCTAACAGAATTATTTCACAGGATAAAAATCACCTTTCGATTAACCCCGTATAATAAACTTTTATTAAAAAACTCCCTATAGTACGACCCTGTGATTTGTCGGAACGGCATTTAAGGTACGATTCCGAACACGACCGCAAACTGCAAACTCTAAACCGCAGACCGCAGCGACAGACCTACTGGTTCATATGGTTTCTTATGAGCTGTATGTCGAGTAGAGCGGCTCTGTCGCCACCGCAAGCAGAACGTCGCTACCGCAGACCGCAAGACTGCACCAGAACCAGTAGTGTCGCCGACCGCAGAGTGACAACACGTATTTTTGCTGTTTCTGAATATATATAAATATATATATATATATATTTATATATATATATATATATATATATATATATATATATATATATATATATATATATATATGAGTATTGAATAACTTCCTTCAAATTGTCTATTTTTAAATAGAGACCTAGTCGGTTTCCTTTTTCTTTTATAATGCAAAAGTAAGAGATCGTCATCTTCTTCTTCCGTCAAAAGATATAACATTAATTCATCGTTGTTCATTGCGTCTGCCATCCTACTTATACGACTTTTAATATTATACTATTATAAATTCCCATCGTGCAATGCTGTTGTCGCTCTTTTGTAGATGCAGTGCAGTTCTGCTCGAAATTGGTCTGACCGCAGACGACACTGTCGCTGCAGTCTGCGGTTTGCGGTCTGCAGTCACTTTCGGAATTTAACCTTTACGAATGATTGGCATAAAAAAACTGTTGATTTCTTCCATAATAATAATAGCAGGTACGTGTATGGAAAAAAATTATCTGATATAGGGCATATAGACAACGCAACGAACTGAAAAAAAATATTCTATAGACTTGTATGTCCGAGAGAATAACATGTAACCACATGTCCGTAAGCACCATGGACAGTCTTGTAATTGTAATTGCCATTGTTGCCGAAAGAACGTTTAGTTTTTAGATGGTCTGGAGAAATATTTCAACGATGTGATTACAAGATTTAAAAGCAGGTTCATATCTTCGGTTAAATCAACGGTTTCTTTAATCTTAATTAAAAAAAAATTACATAAATTCTTAACGGCATAAATTAAAACAATTTATTCTAAAAAATAACAATTTTATAATTTTAATTCAAACTACCTGTTCGACGACTTTTCGGGTGTTATGCTTTCAAGACATACTCATGTCGGTAAATTTGTTGCTTCACATAACCCCGTACGAAAAAGTGCAAAGATGCAAGACCAGGAGAGCGAGGTGACATTTTATGTCATTTTTATGTCACATTTTTATATCACCTCGCTACTAACACCTTTTGTACTAACAACTCTAATCTGGAAACGCAATGATTAAAATTTTTAAAGCTGTCTTTTAGTTGGAAATCGCTAGACGAAGTTTTTACATGCTTCTAGTTGAGCAAAAACATAGTATGAACCTTCGCGCTAGTCTAAATATCCATCTATTGTATCACAATTTTTTATTTCTTTAGCTGCCGATTCTCCAATCACTGATACCATATCAACCGCTGCTACTAAGATCAGTTCCTCAGCAATGGTGTGTCGTTTCTTACATTTGGCAACACGGTGAGCTACCATGTGAGGGATAGGTGTTTAGACAAAACACAAAACGAAAGTTTTCCAAAGAAAAATGCCAAAGATCTTTGGACCTACCACTCAAAACGGTAGATGACTTAGGTAATCGGTGAATGATCTTTCTTGGTCAACTTTAATTTTAGCTTTTAGTTGGTTAGTTATTCTAGGATAGCTTAACATCAAGGTTTTAAAGATGATTTCCAGTAATGGTAAAAAGTAAATGAAGGACTGAAGAACGATTTATTTATCCACAACTACTTATCTGGAAAAATCTTTACATTATAAAGGGTAATACAGTAAACTTACCACCCCTGGTTTAACCATGGTTGGCTTACTGAACTAATGTTGAAAAAATTTAAATTACTATCTAATGCCGTTGATCTAACTCACTATAATGTACTCAATACATTAATCCAAATTTCAACAGAGTTTATTAGTTCTAGGAATTTCAATTTTATCTTAAATACACATTGACATTGTTAATTAAATATACAAGTTTAAATAGGTAAAAAGAAATAAGAATAAAACTTACTAAGAATCAATTTATTCTACAACCAACGATTGGTTTCGCAAACTATAATTTGCTATGCATCTTCAGGTCTTAAGGTACATGGTAAACTAAATGATACCGGTAGAATTATTATTATGTAGTGTTTTAGAAAACATAGTTCAAACTGTTATGGTAAACTGGTGACGGGTGATGATCGGTTTTATTGAATCAATTTAACAAATAGAGGGAAAGTTCTTGAAGGGAGAGATATTAACAAACAAATTGGGAAGTATTATGTAGATTTTTTGTTGAAAAGAATGTGATGTGTTATATTATTTAACAATTATTTATATTTATTTAAGAGGTATATTTTGGAAATGTGTGTTAATTTATTGAAATTATTTATTTACAACAGACAACTCTATGATAATATATAAAAAGGTAGATGTATAAGTTTTGGGTATGGAATAACTCCAACTTGTAATTATCAAATTATGATAAATTGATTTGGTCTGTATTTGGGCAGAATTATTTTGATGTCAAATAAATATAAAATTTACACTTAGGGACAAACAGAACACGTTCAAACAGACACAACAGACATTTCATTTAAAAGGGGGCACTTAGTGGCACTACATCACATCAAAGGAGAGGAACTGACAAAAAAGGGATACAAGTTTACGCTAATATTGGATTTCAAGGTAAGCAGTTTGTGTTTTAAGGTAGAATATTGTTAAAAAAAGAGAAATGTGGAATAAACTATTTATATGTACCTTAAATTGTTTAATTCTTCCACATACTCATTTTCCAAATCTTCATTGTCATCGCTCTCCTCTGAGTAATATCCTGATCCATCATTCTCCGTTACCATAATATCCTCATCGATTACAATTTCATCCAAACCCGAATCGAAGGGAGTACCATGTTCGGCAAAACGAATAAAATAGTTTCCGATAATACTACTGCCATCTAAAGAGTGAGTAGAAGAGCATTCTGTCGAATTGGTAGAATAATTCATAGTTGTAGGACTAGTTTGTGGATTGAATTTGAAAGTTTTCATTGAGTAGCGGAAGGGTTTAAATTCCTGAAAACAATATATGAGTAAATTCTATTTTGTTTACTAAACATGTTACTTTACAGGTTATACTAAATTGTTACAATTAATTTTTTTTGTACAAAAGTTGTAGTACTATTAATTTATTAGACACTCTAATAAATTAGTGCAGGAGCTTTTCTCAGCACCTAACGACTCACTGTGAGATCAAAACGGGTAATTATCCCGTTCTTATTGAGGCAACTGAAAAGTAGTTTTTGCGACAAGAGTTGTATCGTCTTTGGACTTTGTTATCTTTTATGTTTGTCGTTCTTTGTTTGGATTGTCTGTTTACTGGGCACCTTCTGGGACCCGCTAGGTGGATTGAAAAGAATTGGAAGAGCCCTCCAAGAATATTATCTAAAAAATTGATTGCATTCCTATGTTGTCAAATAAACATTCCAGCAGTTCGGGTTGTTTTGGCAACTTACTTTTATTGAGCTGTAATTTATTGAAGATATTTTATTAAATTTTACTCTTGTGTTAAACAAGCAATCTCATCGCTACCTTGGAGATGGAACACCGGCAACGGTATAAAACGACGTCCGCCGTAAGAGAGAATCCAGTGCCGCCAGAGTACTGATCTGGTAGACACTCCACCGGATCTTTAAGTATTGGCCAAAGGCCAACCGTTCAGGGCGTCAGTCCATCTGGTTGGTGGACGTCCTCTTCGGTTTGAAATTTAACAATTTGTTGCTCTATTGTTACATTTATCATTTCGCGGTGAAATAGAAAATCTAATGAAAACAAACGATACTGATTTATTTACAGAAATGAGAGTTTTTACAGTATCTGAAACAGCAGGCTTCATGCTAAATGGTTATACTATATCTACTTTAAGAATAAAATTCACTCAGGCGAGTCCCAAAAGATAATTAATTTTTGTCAATTTTAGTCAAATTTTGACGTTGACTAGAAGCTATTATATAACCGAGCACAAGTGCTCAGGGTCAATTTTAATTGTAACTGGGAAATAAAAAATTATTCACATGCACTAAATAGTATCAGATAATTTAGCAAGTCAGTTAATAATATTACCAAAATTCAAAATATAGATAAACTACAGTCCCTGCTCAATTTATTAGACTCACCATAAAAATTTCAGTTTTTTAAATTTTAATCGCATTGAAAGTATGTTCACTTGGATACTGAGGTGCTGAATGGGTTGCAGCACTATTGGGAACATAGTTAAGTAGAAAATGGTATACTTTTTCTTAGAATTGTCAAAAATTTACAGATGACAGTAGAATGTGCTCAAAGGGTGGAGCAACTAATTATTTTACATTGTAATGTTTTTTACTTAAAATATAGATTTGTGATCAGTTTATTTAAAATTTACACCAGTAAGTATTGACATTATTACATAATATTGTTACTATTGTTAATATTACATTATTACATAATATTGGTTAATTCTTAGTTATAACACAAAACGATTATACTGGGATTGGAATTTTTCAGATGGGTAAATCTAAAGATCTTTGTGTTGACCAAATCTCTTCCAATACTGCTCTACTACAAAATACAGCACTTAGTCAGAGAGAGATAGCACGAAAATGTGGTGTATGATTCCATCAATGAGAAGATTAAGTCAAAAACTCAAAGAGAAGCGACCTGTGACGTCAGTTCGGAAGGGCTGATGTGGCAAAAAACCTTCAGTCACCCCCAGGGCGCAACGAATTTAAAAAAATGTAGCTGTAACACACAGAAGGGCCACCCATAGAGATTTAAGAAATAAGTTCTAAGAAAGAAGCAGGGTGCTTAGTATCGGTGGTCACTGTACGCCGAAATTTGTATAGCATGGGCTTCAAATATCGCAGGCCTGTTAAGAAGCCAAAACTAACACCAAAAATGCTCAAAAAACGCTTAGCTTGGGCCAAGATCCATAAAGACTGGTCTATTGATGATTGGCGTAAGGTAAATTATTACAAATCATTTTATTTTCGTTCTTTATAATTTTATTCACATTTCCAGGTTTGCTTCAGCGATGAAGCCACGTTTCAAATAATGGATGACAAGGCCCAGTTTGTCCGAAGACGTCCAGGAGAAAAATATGAAAAGGGGTGTGTAATTAATACAATTAAACATCCCACCTCAGTAATGATATGGTCGGTGATAAGTAGCAAAGGTATGGGACGTTCGTATGTCGTAGAAGGAACCATGCGACAAGACCAATATAAAAGGGTTTTGCAGACAAGATTGGTTCCACAAGCGAACAAATGGTTTGGTAACAGCCATAAGATATTTATGATGGATAGAGCTCCTTGCCATACGGCTAAAAGTATTAAAAATATTTTTTTTAGAACAAGAAATTCCGCTCTTACCATGGCCCGGCAACTCACCAGACATGAACCTCATTTAAAATGTCTGGGAGTGCCTAAAAAGAGAATTAGCCAAGGAAATAATTACCAACAAGATTCAGTTGATAGAAAGAATCATTTTCCATTGGAATCATGCCGAAAATTTAAAAGAAATTGCAGAAAAATGCATAAACAGCATGCCTAGGAGAGTGGCTGCACTTATTAATGCCAAGGGTGGCTTAACAAAATATTAATGTTATAGTACAATATTGTAATAATTTACTTTATTTTTGTTCAATAAATATGCAAAAAGGTTACTACTATCATTTGTGTTATGTTTCTTACTTATAGCTGACATAGTTATAATTATAATTGATTATAAAATACAGAAAACTTGAATTTGCTAGGTGAGTCTAATGAATTGAGCAGGGACTGTAGAACCAACGAGTATAAAGACTCACAGAAAGCTAATTATTAACAGAAAAGAGCACTTCGATTCAGACGGTGTCGAAATGTAAATAAAAATTGTATCCGGGTCGATAGAGCCGCTGATAATCAATGTTTTGAGCAGTTCATATACAAATACCACAGAATAAATAACAATCAGAATGCCCACTCTCAGATGCCGCCTCAAGTGTCCGTCAGCACGCAAAAGCCATGTTTTAGACGGAAACATAGACTCGAATTAAGAAATTTGTGACAAGCTACGACAGAACTATAATTTAAATTTTTGGAAATTAATAATTTAAAAATAATTTAATCTATTTTTCAACTAAAAGTACGAATAAAATAGGTATATTATATCTATAGTTGAGGTAAATAAATTAAACCGGGTTAATTTTTCTATGCACACCAGATAAAATGTCACTGAACAGCACTGGTTCTGTTTAAAACATGGCTTATTCCGTCTACACGAACGAAATGCGCGTGCTTATTTTTTGAAGCGGAGTGGGCATTCTGATTGTTTATTATTATGTGCAAATACTATACTTTTGGTAGTGGTTCTAACATGAAAGTTTGGTCGAGTGACAAAGCGTTCGGATGATTTTTTAATAGTAATTAAAGTTAATTTGACAATTAATTCGATGATAAATGAATTTACATTATTTTATACATTTATAAAATACAATGAATAAATTAAAACTTCTGGTAAATAATTTATTAAAACCACTTGCGATAAGTTTCTACAACTGAATTATTATTAACTGAATTACTTGTGTGAATATATTATGTAATTTTGAACAACTGGATGAAAACCAAACGAAACACACAAAAAACTGAATAATAAAACTTAAATGCTTCTGATACAATTGAGGCAATACATATTTTTGAAATATATTATTGTTAACTGTTATACAAGAAATGAGAAATATGGAAATACGTGCTTGGCGGAGAAAGCCGATGGATAGGGACGACTGGAAGAGAATTCTTTGGGAGGCTAGGACCCATACAGGGTTGTAAAGCCAAAATGATAATGATGATGTTGTACAAGAAAGTAACGAATGTCGAATTCTATAAGAAATAACTAAATTTGAGATAAGTACTTAATTTTATGTAAGAAAAAAAATATTAAAAAAAAATGTGCATATTATACTAAATTAATATTTTAAGTATACTAAGGAATTTAGTATACCTATTTTTTGGTAATTCAGTATAACAATGGTGTAAAAATAAAATAGTATAATAACATTAACCCGATCTGTTAAAAGTACTTATTCTAATAAATTCGGACATCGTTTACCTGTAATTGCATTATATAAAAAGACGACTTCACTGGACAGATTTCCCACATTTCATTTTCTAAAAATATTTTAAGTTCCTCTAGCCGTTGTGCGTGGTAGTTTAGAAAATAGTTTTCGCTTTGTTTCTTTATCGATTCTTGTAAATCTTCAGACTTGCTAGAACAAAACTCTTCACCAACTTGAATTAACCTAAAAAGAAAATATTTTAATAAGACTAAGATTCGATATTATATAATAACCATATTACAAAAATGAATTCAATTTTTTTGTAATGTTTGTAAGGTGGTTATGTTGTTGGAAATAAAAGAAGAAATCGAAAAACTGGGACGCTCTGTAATAAATTTGTGGAGTATTAAACATTTTAAAACTAAGCAACCTTTATCAATGTTCGTCATTGATTTAAATCCAGTTGAAAACAATAAAACAAGTTACAACATTATAAAATAAATTTGAACTTCCTCATTCAAAATAGGGAAATCCCACAGTATAACAGATATCAAAGATATGCGCATACGAAAAAATATTGCCAACTTAAACCCAGATGTTAAGTGCATTCTCTGCGAAAGAAACCACACAGCATATTACAAAAGATGTATTGTTTATAAGGAATTACAGAAAAAAAATCGAGCTTTAAGATATAAAAAAACTACAACTCCAGTATACAATAATGTTAGAAATACTATAAACACACATTCCTCCTGCTAAAAACGTCACTCGACACTGAGGAGTAGGCAGATTGAGACCTCAGTGTCGCTTGACGGTTCTTATATTTATACAGAACACGATACTGGTACGTCACGAGTGAGGAGAGTAGGCAGATTGAGACCCCGAACTCGCACAGAAACGTATCCATCTTGAAAATGGCTCCAAAATGGGTGCCGAAACGTCGAGCATTAAATTCTCAACGCTGTTCTTCCCGAGAACTTGGTATATATATATATATATATATATATATATATATATATATATATAAATATATATATATATATATATATATATATATATATATAAATATAAATATATATATATATATATATATATATATATATATATATATATATATATATATATATATATATATATATATATGGAGAAAAACAGAAAGAAGGTGGCTACTTCGTCTATTTATTCGAAGAAATTTCTAATCAGAAAGCATCATCATTTCATCTAAAAAGAATAATATGAAAATACCAAACATCCATAGAGATGTTAATACAAAAGTGTTACCTCTAAAAGACATGTAGCAGTCAAAGGTATAAAATGTAAAAAAGCTTGAGACATTAAACGATTAAATCGTTAAGTTGTATAAACAATCAATTGAAACTAAGTACAGTTTACAATTTAACACAGGCTTAAAACAGCAAAACAAACATGTGGTTATTATACTTTTAATTTAAAAAAATATGTAAAAAACTTATGGAAAAAACTAGTATATGCCGAGAAACTAACAAGATCACCCTTCCAACAATAGAATATTAATTTAGTTTAATTTTGACTTTAGGTAACATTATTAAAATGATTGCAAAAGTTTGCAGTAGTAATCTTGTAAAAAATGTAATGAAAGTTACCACAAAGAGCTTCCTCGGAAACACTCGGCAAATGAGACCTATTTTTAAGACACACGAACCATCCCGTGAAAAACAGTGCCCTTGAAGTACAAACATGACAACACAAGGCGAATTACTAGCCGCTAATGCATTGGAGCGGTAAATTTAAAGATATAGTAAGGAGAAATCCTTGTCTGTACGAACCATTATAAAGAAAGCAACAGATGCTTGGAAACATCATTTTACTTTCAAGGAATGGCTCAAAGAAAGACAAACAAGTGAGGTCGATCTTTCCATATCATAATACAAGTGACTACGTTGTAGCTGGTTAACCAGCCACAGGTACAGATTTATTTCAACTTCCACAGTCCAAGGTTCATAATATTTTTGATTAATTACTCAGTTCTAAGCATATAAGGTCATTAGATTTTATAAGTAACTCGTAACAAACTTTACATACATTTTAAAATTTTAATACAAACCAATCATACCTGTGTACAACTCTGAGGACTTGAACGAACTGGTCAAACTTATACCTCGCCAAATCTCCGTTTAATAAGAGACCAGACACTTTCCTTTGTACATCGTCCCAAATTTTTGTAACATTGTGGTTTAATTTTTGCTTGCTTGCTATAATATCGTTTTCACATTCGGAATATTCAGGGTCATGGTCAGAATTGTGCCACTTAACCAACTTGTGGTAACTTAAAACTATTTTGAAAAGAACTTTACACAGTTGAATCAGGCATGGAATAAAAACGTCTTGATTAATAGCCTAAAAACAAAAATACTTATTGTAACGAATTGTAACCAAGAAATAACTCACTATTATTACAACAATTGTACAATAAATTCAACATTTTAATGAAACAGTTTATATTAAACCATCAATAATCAGATCAAATAAATACAAATGTAGTTTTGAATAACAGTTTCTATCAGTTCTCTCTTATTACTTGGGTTTCGGCGTGATACTAACACTTTCAGCCTTGACCATAGATTTTCTAATGGACTTAGATCGGGACTACTTTCAGGCCATGTCATGATAGTAACATTGTTTCTCAACTATTCTATGAAAGTCTTGGCCATATGACGTTAGTACGCTCCATGCTGCTGGAAGATACATTGTTGAAAATCCCGTTCAAACAAATCTCTTGTAGTCTGCAAGAGTTTGGTTGGTTGTATTTATTCCTGATATTTTTTTGCATTTATATTGTCCTCTAATAATGTCAAACGTTTAACTCCGTTAGTGGCCATATAAGCTCATACCATGACACTCACAGGGTGCTGCATAGTGACCGTAGTGCACTGTGGCGAACAAACTTTTACCCATCGTTCCCAACAATCGAAATTCTGGTTTCATCACCCCAAATTACCTTACCCCGCTGTTCATCTGTCCATTCTCTGTATTTCACAAATCCCAATCAATGTGTTTTTGCCTTTTTTTTTTGTTCAGGAACGACTTCTTTCTAGGGGTTCTTACTCGCATTTGATTCGCCTTCTGCCATTAGTTATGCCATAGTTAAGTCATACGCTTATTAAGAAGTGTAATATGCATGTTGAGAATCGGATTGTGGTTGATTTAAAAAAAAATTGTTTAAAATCCTTTATAAAAGGTATATAAAAAATGCCCCAAACGGGCTATCACAAACACATTGCAAAACGTTTTCGGATTGATAAATCCATCATCAGTGCAAACGGTTGTACATGTTAGTAGCCACCAAAATATATGGGTCAAAACCCTTTAACTTAAAGGCTTTTGACATATATATTTTGGTGGCTACTAGCATGTACAACCGTTTGCACTGATGATGGATTTATCAATGCGAAAACGTTTTGCAATGTGTTTGTGATAGCCCATTTGGGGCATTTTTTATATACCTTTTATAAAGGATTTTAAACAATTTTTTGTGATATATGGTATACAGCCAGCTACAGGAACTTAGTTTCCTAGTGGAAGTTGATTTAACTTTGATAGCTCCGATAGCAGAACTGCTGTATCTGCGTTCTGAAATGTAATTTGTTAATTATATATGGTAATATTGATGTTAACCAAAGAAGGACGTCGTCAGTATTATCTGATTGATATTCGCGAAGAATTTTCATTTTTTTTTTCGATATCGAGAAATGCCTCTAAACTCATATCCTTACCCGAAGGAACTAACAACGAAGACGTAGTAACTTGTCGTAGGTTGATACCCATAGACGTATTCGGTGACATTTCTTCTAAAATAGACGCATATTCATAGACCATGTCCACGTTGAAATTGTTTTCCTAACTAGGAGCGTTTGCACACACTGGCATCTCTATTGAACTGGTTTCGCAGTTTGCGGAATCTTATGCGGATGAAATTAATGCATGTTTAACACAATCTTTTTATGGCGAAATATCGAATTAGTTCAATTGACCATTAACATAATAGTAAAAGTGCAAAATGATCTAAAATGTGTAAAATAAAACTGCATCTAAATACATAATGCATAAAAAAAACCATCTAGATAATCTCTGCAATTTTGTCGAGACCAAACATGAATTTATTGTGTGTTTAAAACGTGGCTGATTTCGTCAGCGCGAATGAGATGCGCGTACTTATCCCGCCAAGCAGAGTGGGCACTCTGATTGCTTTCACAGTACTTGCACAGTATTAAAGTGAGTAAATTCAAATCGTAGTATAAGGGAAAAATATTGTACATGTGCAATTAGTTAAGAAACATCAGGTTTAACTTTTGTTAAATCGAAATAATGTTGCTAAAACAAGTAATAAAAAATATTCTGCAAAAAATTGTTACATATCAATTGTCATACAGTACAGTTATCATATATTACCTGGCACAAAACTGTGTATGGATTCTTTCCACTATTTTCACTAGAATCTAATATATCGGGTGATGAAATGTATGACTGGATAACGTTAAAAGAAGAATTATATATGGCTGTAATATAATGCACGTGCAAATTGTCAATCATTGATACTTGAGATTTTTCTAAGAGATCATAGGCCGCTTGTAGTTTTCTGTATCTTTCCTTATCAAAATGAAAACAAATCTGAAACAATTGAAAATTATTTCAACAAAATCTTTCTCCCAATAAGATATAAAATAATACATTTTAAAATGTACCAGGTGGTCCAATAAGCCGATCTCTCGGCTATATATCAGAAACTGTTCATGTTATAACTTTAGGAGAAAAAATTCCTTAGTAAAAGTGGCCAAGAGAAATCGCTGGAAATAACTTTCAAGATTCTGGATTAACCGCTAGGGGGCGTAACCTGCGAAGAAAATTTTGAAAACCAGTTTTTTGGGAAATATGTCGAATTATACCAAGTGTTAAATAAGTAAACTAGAAAGAGGCATAAATTCTGCACAAAGTTGTTCAAGTACTTTTTTTTTATTTTTTCAAATAAAGGGTGGGGGAGAGTGGGAAAGTATTTTTGGATAAATACCTATAACTTTGGTTTGGATCAACCGATTTTAATAAAATTAGTGTCATTAGAAAGAGTGTGGATAAATTAATTCATATCTACTATAAAATACTTGCATTTAGTTTTAATAGTTGTAGGTAGAGAGGACTTTCAAATAAAAAAAATTAAAATTTGTTTTTCTTCAAAATTTTTAATGGAAACACCTATTTATTGTAAATTATAATGGAACTGGATTAAATTCGTAACAAAATGGAGCAAACCGCATAAGTAAGTATAGTATTGACACACCCTGTATTACAAATTACATTAAAAAACAAGTCAGTAGGTATTTTCAAATTTTTTTATAGCAGAAGAATCTTAATGTTGATACCAATTTTGTAAAAAATAGTTTTTTCCAAACTAATTAGGCTACGACAATAAATTTGACGGGGAGTTCATATTGTTTATTTATTGACAGCAGTGAAAACATTGTTAAGAAGTGCTATATTATAATTCGAATTAAAGATTGCACTTTACACATCAATAGATATTAATATTGGTAATATTAGTAATTAATATCAAATTGTATGATATGATTGGAGTTTATTTCGAATGTCACCAAAATGCCGCTATTGCCTCACGTATATATTTTGTAAAATATCCTGACAGGAGACATTATGGCAAAGAAGTATTTGAAAGAAAGGCAAAAAGATAAAAAAAAACTGGTAGTTTTTCTCGTCCTTGTTTTAAACGACGTAGTAGAGTTATGACCGAAGATAATTCAATCAATGTTCTTGCTTTAATTGAACAGAATCCACATATAAGTAGTCAGAAATCTCTACTTTTTGCCACAATGTCTCCTGCCAGGATATCTTACAGAATATATACGTGGTGAGGCAATAGCGCCATTTTGGTGATATTCGAAATAAACTCCAATCATATCATACAATTTGATATACTCATCACGAATTATTACTAATATTACCAATATTAATATCTATTGAAAAAAATGCAATTTTCAATTCGAATTATCATACATATAACACTTCTTAACAATATTTTGACTGCTGTCAATAAATAAACAATATGAACTCCCTGTCAAATTCATTGTCGTAGCCTACTTAGTTTCGAAAAAACAATTTTTAATCATATGAAATAACAATGGTCAAAATAGGTATCAACATTAATAGTTTTCTGCTATAAAAAATTTTGAAAGTACCTACTGACTTATTTTTTAATTTAATTTATAATACAGGGTGTGTCAATACTATACTTACTTATGTTTATGCGTTTTTATTCATATCTCGAGTTCGATAATAGCTATTAACATGCGGTTTGCGCCATTTTGTTACGAATTTAATCCAGTTCCATTATAATTTACAATAAATAGGTGTTTTCGTTAAAAATTTTGAAGAAAAACAAATTTTAATTTTTTCTATTCGAAAATACCCTCTACCTACGACAATTAAAACTAAATGCAATTATTTTATAGTAGATGTAAATTAATTCATCCATACTCTTTTTAATGACACTAATTTTGTTAAAATTGGTTGATCCATACCAAAGTCATAGGTATTTATCCACAAATACTTTCCCACTCTCCCCCACCCTTTACTTGAAAAAATAAAAAAAAGTACTTGAACAACTTTGTGCAGAATTTATGTCTCTTTCTAGTTTACTTATTTAACACTTGGTATAATTGGACATATTTCCCAAAAAACTGGTTTTCAAAATTTTCTTCGCAGGTTACGCCCCCTAGCGGTTAATCCAGAATCTTAAAAGTTATTTCCAGCGATTTCTCTTGGCCACTTTTACTAAGAAATTTTTTCTCCTAAAGTTATAACATGAACAGTTTCTGATATATAGCCGAGAGATCGGCTTATTGGACCACCCGGTACTTTTAGGAATACATATTTTTAAAAAAATATTGCTATACATGAATTCCATCTGTTTTCTACTTCTTATACATGGTTATATCATTTTTCTAACAAATTGAAATAATTTGATCAGAAATATAAATTAATTGATGACTTACCTGAGCTAAAATTCTATCCAACTGGGAATCTGTGTTTTCTAAAGTTTCCTGTATTTTATAAGTCAAGGCCGCAACACAACTGAAATGTCTATACTGAGTAGCTATTTTCTGACATCTTTTTAATTCAGTGATAGCTCTGACAAAGTCTTCTTCCATTATCATTTCTTGACATCTCTTTTCAAAGCTGTGCTATAAAAGTAAAACAAGAAATCATTACAAACTCAGTGATTTCTGTAGATATATGAAATTAATACAACATTGTGAAGCATAAAAGAGAGTGCATTTTAAATAGAAGTTAAAGCATTGTTGAAGCTATTTTTTTGTAACACTTTAAAGTAATCACTATTCTAATTGGGAATAATCCACAATCTAAGGTTAAAATTAGTTTATTGACGTTTCAATTTCCACTTCTAAAATCTTTCTCAAAATACAAAACATTAATAAATTAAACAAATTTTGTTTATTCACCTCTTGGTGAAAAATTCTTCTAATAATTTAATTTTATCTGACTCATGCATATTGACAATTCAGACATATTATACATTTTGTTGTATTCATTGAGTTCCATTCCTGGGGCGACTTTATTGTAAGATAGTTCATTCTATTACATGAAATCAACTATAACTTGAGAATATCCGTCAGAAAAATCAATATGGCCTCATGGATCAGAGTTGTTGAAGACTTTCCTGAATGATATAAATGATAAAGAGTGGACAATAACATTTACCATGGAAAAGGAATATAATAACACTACCTTTCCTGGATGTGTTAATCTCTAAGAACGATACTGGGTATGAGACTCAGGTACAGGGCCGGCAATAATGGGCATGTGAGGGATGCACTACAGGCGGGCGTCAAAATGAGCTTTTTTTCTGTTGGTGTTATAAAAAATAGTAAAATACAAAAATTCATTTTTTAAATGTGGTTTAAATTGTAATCATAATACGCTAATCTGGTTATTTTTGGTTATTTTTGCAACCCCGAAACGTAAAATATTAAATACAAGGCATAGAATTCCTACTCTTTCAAATGTTGATCTTGTTTCAAAGAGAAAACAACTTTGCACTTATTCAAAATGCTTTGTTTATTTTCTTCAAATTTCTTTGAAGTCGTTTTAAGGTTTAGGTAAAATTTAGTTTATTAGGAGTTTTGTTAATTTATATTATATGTGTATACAGAATAGTTCACCAGCTTACTATGCAGTTAAAAGAACATTATCTATGTGTTGCATTCAATTAATATAAAACGATTAAATATATTTAAATAAAAAAAAAAGAACCGAAGGCTTGCACCTTATACTCTAGCACCGGGACTGCTCAGGTGTATAAAAAACCAATACACACCAACAGATATTTAAATTACAAATCAAATCACATCAACAGTAAAAAGGGAATCATTAAATCCTTATACGACAGAGCCAAAATTACTTGCTCTAACGTGTCTCTGGCAACTCTTCTCCATGCTTTAACTCCGATTGATTTTAGATCATCCTCTATGTTATCTTGATACCTAAGTTTTGGCCTTCCTCTGGCTCGTCTTCCCACTGGTCCTCTTCGGTCGAAAATTTTTCATATCGTTGTTTCTTCATCTCGCCTAATTACATGTCCTATCCATCGAAGGCGTGCTAATTTAATACATTTTACAACGTCAGGTTCTCCAAAACTGTATAACTTGAAGTTGTAGAGCCTACGCCACAAACCCTGTTCTTGGATTCCTCCATATATTTTCCTTAGATTTTTTCTCTCGAAACGTTTAAGCAATTCTTGGTCGTTCTGTGTAAGTGACCACGTTTCTAACCTGTATGTTAACACTGGCCTTATTAGTGTTTTGTATATGGTAATTTTAATTTTTCGGGGTAGTTTTGGGACCATCTGTTTCCTCAAGCCATAATAGCACTTATTGGCAAGCACTATTCTTCTTTTAATTTCTTCGCTGACATTGTTGTCTTTGGTCAGCAGCGAGCCCAGGTAGAAGAAGGTGTCCACACCTTACAGTTCCAGATCATCAATTAATAGTCTAGGTATCTGGTTGACTGATCTAGTACAATATATATATATATATATATATATATAATATATATATAAATATATAATATATAATATATATATATATATATATATATATATATATAAATATATATACATATATATATATATATATATATATATATATATATATATATATATATATCAATTTAAAGTTGATTTCATGTTAATTGAATGAACTTGAACTATCTTACAATAAAGTTGATTTCATGTTAATCGAATGAACTTGAACTATCTTACAATAAAGTCATCCTCGGCAATACTGGAAATATCATTTCAAAGTCAACTACTTTAAAATGTATAATATATGTCTAAATTGTCAATATGAATGGATCAAAATTAAATTATTAGAAGAATTTTTCATCAAGTAACAAAAAACAATATTTTTTAAATTTAATAATGTTATGTATTTTCAGAACGATTTCCGAAGTGGAAATTGAAACGTCAATAAAGTTATTTTAAACTTGTGGCTTATTCCCAATTAAAATAGTAAAAGCTAAAGTGTTAAGAAAATTAAATTGAGTGATATCACAGTAATTATAAAAATATAACGCAGAGTACTAGTGGCGAGGAAATGTTAATAATCTTAATTCACAATATATGTACCCATTTATTTCAAACAATTTGGTAACAACAGTGCAAGTTACCAATTGATACCCTGTTGTAACTGATTCATCAAATACATGAGTAGACTTTGAACGAAATTAAGTCCAATATATATAGTTCCATTCCATTCAGTACCAGTTCAATCAGCGCCATTTTTATGGTTTTTAGCTTCCCGGACAAAACAAAATTTGACGTCCTTTCACACAAAAAAATACCAATTTATTGCAAATTAAAAAAAATAGTAAAAAATGGCAAAAACCCAAAATTACAACATAAAATAGTTAAAAATTTATTTGTTTAAAAAATAATAGACTTGTTATTTACTTACAGGTGATGTTAACAAAGTTATTTAAATTAATTACTTTGAGATTAAAAAGCATTTGAGTGCATCAATGTTGTGTGACAAAGGCCAAAAAAATTCTTAGGTTTCATTATTTGAACTAGTAACACACTATCCAATCGAAGATACTGTAAAATACGGACCTAATACAGACAAAAGAGTTATCTGGAGAATCTTTATATGAAAAAAATCTTTATTTATTCACGGTGTATCCCCATTTTCATTAAAATTTAACATATAATATCCTAAACATCACAAATATACTAAAAACTAAATATTACATAATATTGAACAAGTGATCAAATTAAAATTGAATACATTAAAATCGATTAAATTTTACTGAAAATCGTAATAAAATGAAATGAATGCTCCAAGTGAAATTTCCCTCATCTTCGATGCCTAACATACTCAATCAAATAGTGCTTAAATCTTACAGATTTTATATCAACTAGATCATACAATTGATTATTCCTAATATTCCTGATGATAAGTCATCTCCCAGTATCTAAATTATGTTAATATGAGAGAATTTGCCATAGTTTGTGTGATAATGTTTTATAGAAAAGAAACGAATGTCTCTAAAAATTCTAGCACTACATCTAAAGTTGACAATACTTAACAAATCAGAAGAGTCAATGATATGGTATACTTTATAGAAAAAAATAAGATCACATAAGCAATAAAGACATGTCAGTTTAATCAATGAGCACAAAACCAGAGAAACTTATTTTGATTTTTTTCAGGGGTGTAAATATGGATAAAATAGTACTGTAACTATATGCTTGCCAGTGGATAAGTATGTCCAACAACTTTAAAAGTTAAAGAAAAGTAGACTTATTTTTATCATTACTGCAATATTACACAGAACCACATTACATACCCATGAGCCAGACAATCCAAACATAAAAATGAATAAATTAGCTTGTATATTGCATCAGAAAGTGTTCTTTACAGTATAAAGTGGTATTTTATGTCGCAGTGTAGAATAGTGGCCTAATAACCCTGCCACTATCTGATAATGATCATGCCATTGAATATGACTCAACTCTTCCACAATTTTAATTGCCGTATCTTATGGTAAACAAATTGCATTATCCCTATAATAATCTTTCATAAAAGCAAAACTGAGTCTGATAAATATATAAGCAACAAGTTGGTGTGGCTAAATATATTAAACACGAAACAAAGAACAGCTCTTATAACAAAATTCTATGTATCTAAAGTATTTTTTAAAATTAATTATCTAACAAATTTATAAATAATCATTAATAATTGTTAGATCACCTTAGTAATTTATTTACTGTAGTCATTATATACCATTAGGAACATTGAGAAATATTTTTAAAAAATATGTTAAATTATATATCGTTACAGAATATGATTTTCTGGTTTTTCCCATGAAAACCTCAAGTGTAAAATTATTACATACATAATATAAAATATTATGTATTTAATAATACTTATTATTACTATAAATATAAATTACTTTCAAAATATTTCTACTTTATTGCAACCAAAGTGGTGTTTTAAATGTTACTTTAGTTGGAAATCTTCAAATAAACTAGCCTTACAATACTTGATAAACTAGCCTTACAATTCACCAACTTAAGGTACTTACTGATTAAAACTACCTTTCGCAATTTGATATAACCTGATTTCTATTATTGGTGAATTGCAGATTATTTTTTAATCATATATTATTTTTAACCATCTTAAAATTTGATCCTACTTCAGATTCTTGATTTTAATTATCTATGGCTACCTGATTATACATGATTATTGTAAGGATCAACATTTCACTAATAATTTATGGTGCTATATTTGATTTAATAATATTTAATATTTTTCAAAAGCTGTGTATCTGTGACATATCGTGAAGACCATGTTTCTTTTGTAAACAACATGCATTTAACTGTGTTATTAATGCGATGTAAGGTGATATCCAGAAAATTTATTTTATTAATTAAAGTGAATTAATAAGTTTATTAATAAGTTAAATAAAAATTAAAAGTTAATTAAAAATTAATAACTTAAAATTACCTAAAATTTGGTCTATTTTATTTGTTGGGATAGCACAGATAGCACAATCTATAATATAAAAATGAATCGCAAAATGTGTTGGTAAGCTAATAACTCAACAACGCATGGACCAATCTTAACGATTATTTTTTTAAAATGTTCCTAGAAGTCTAAGGATA